CCCTTCCCCACTTGAGCTCTCACAGGTAGTTTCCAGGGACACTCAGCCCTGCGACTGTCCCGGCTCAGCGGGGCGGGCATAGGAGCGCTGCCATCTGGCATGCAGCCCTGCAGAGGAAGGGGAGGGAGCAGGGCGAGGTTGTGGGCACAAGCCGGTGGAGCTGCCAGGGGGCTGCATGCACAACTTGGCTTGGTTCGGCTTGACCCGGCCTGGCCCAGCTCAGCTCAGCTCCCATGCGTGTCTCTGAGGGCCCCACTCACCGTCTCCCAGGTTCTCCACGCGCACCGGCTGGCTCCACTCGCCTGGCACGTGGGAGTTGGCGCGGACCCGGAACTGGTAGCCGGTGCTGGCATTGAGCCCACCAAGGACCTTGGAGGTCTCGGCACCGCTGTCCGTGTCGACCCACTGGGGCTCACTGGAGCCACCCAGCTGCTGCAGCTCCACCGTGTATTTGCTGATGCCCCCATTGGGGTACTCGGGGCTGTGCCAGCTGAGCCGCACCATGCTGTCAGTCACAGGCTCAGCACGCAGCAACCGTGGGGAGGAAGGGCCTGGGGCGGACACGAGTGACAGTCAGTGCCACAGGCAAATGGCTGGGCCCTGGAGCTCAGAGATGCCGGCAGGTAGGGAAGAGCCCCTTGGCACAGGCAGGGCACATGGCTCGTGGCCACATGCAGATGCAACATATGCACACACGGATGTGCAGGCCCCTCAGCACAGGAAACACGGGTCCCCCGTGCCGCATACGTGCCCTACGCAGACACAGGTGCCCCTGGTCCAGCACCTGCACCCACCCAGCAGCATCGTAAGGCAGGGCTGCAGGGCCGACGTCCTCAGCATGCAGAGGAGGGAAGGGCAGGAGGAGCCTTGAGAGGGGTCTCTGTCCCGGGGGCCGCCCATCCGCCCTGCCGCCAGGGAAGGGGGCTCTGAGCCATGCCCTGGAAGGCCGTTCCCTCACGTTCAGCTGACATTGGCCTTGCTGCAGCTCAAGCCAATCCCTTCCCCCTTCCCACCCTGCCACCCATGGATGTGGAAGCACCCGGCACCCTCCTCCCTGTGACCTGTTCACATTGCGGGGAAAGTGCTGTCCAGCCCCACCCTAGCACTGCGTGGACCAAACACACCCGGCTCCTCCAGTCTCTCCGTGGCCCCGTCTCCTTCCCCCTCCTTGCCTACGCAGCTTGTCTGTGCCATCGCACCACACCTCCTCAAGCACGTGGATCCCTAGCCCAAGGCCTCACGGGGGCTAGGCAGAGCAGGCGAATCAGTGCCTGCACTCCTGGCTGTCCTGCCTGGACCGAGCCTGCACGGCGGATTCGCCCTACGTGCTCTCAGCCTCGGATGTGCTCCTGCAGTCCAGCTCCCCCCAGCCCCTGTGACAAAACCAGTGCAGACAAACCATCTTCTAAACTCTTTGTAAAATTACCGTCACCCCTGACACAACACTAAACATTGCGCGTGACCCTGCCCCAGGAAAGCAGGGGAACCATGGCAGCCAACGTCCTGCTTCTACAAAAGGTTGTTCACAGAGGCTCAAGAGATCCTAGGTAGAGGGCCCCCCCCTCGTGCATTACAGAGGAAGACAAAACCCCTCCAGGCTGCACGAAGCTGACCAGGAGGTAAAATCCCTTTCCTGGCCCCAAACATGGCGATCGGTCTCAGCCTGAGCACACAGGCAAGATCCTCTCACCTGAACCCTGTGGAGCTGGTCCTAGCAGGAGCATTGGCACACCCCTGTTTCCATCCCCAGCCTGGGCTGCAGCCAGCACCCAGCACCTCTGGGTGAGGCTTAAAACCCCCTGAACACATGGAGCAGAAAAGGGGGTGAGGGGGCATAGCCCAGAGCTTGGGACACGTTCATCTCGGCCACAAGCCCCAGGAACTGACACAGGAATCATAGGGGAAATGAGCCAAGCAGCTATGGCCTTGGTGATACAAGGGCCAGGTGGGGGCATAATGACCAGGCTTGGTGTCACCCCCTAGGCCTAAGAGGGAGGCGTTATGAATGGGGCTCCCCAGGGGTTTGTCCTGGGTCCAGCACTGTCCAGGAGTGTCCCAGAGGATGGGATGGAGTGGAGTGCGCACGGAGCAGATCTGCAGCGGGCACCAAGCCGGGATAGCAGACACTTTGGGTGTAGGATTCAGGTTCAAAACTACTTTGGCCAACAGGAAAATCAGTCTAAAGTTGGCCAGCTGGATTCAGCAGGGACCGGTGCAGAGGCTTGCTGCTGCAAATGCAGCAATCTGCGTTTGGGAGCAAGTGGCTGGCTGGCAGGGCTGCAGGCAGGACCTGGGCACTGGGGGGCAGCAGCTGAACAGGAGTTGGGCGGAGGGGGGGAGTTGTTGCAAAAGTCCAAGAAGTCGTGGGAAGTGGTTCTTTCACCCTGTTCAGCAAAGCCTCATCTGGAGGATGTCTGGTTTTGGGCACTGACAAGGACAAACTGGAAAGAGCTGGGAGGAGAGGTCTAGAAAACAGGCCAGGAAAGGCTGGCAGAACTGGGGTTATTTAGTTGGGAGAAGAGCAGTTTGAGAGGGATCTGGTAACGGTCTTCAAATACAGAAAGGATTGTTATAAAGGTGAAGCCAGTCTCCAGAGGTTGAGTCCATCTAGTCCAACACCCTGCTCAAGGCTGGGTCATCCCCAGCCAAACCACCCCAGGCATCCTTGTCTGACCTATTCCCAAAACTGCACATATCACCCCAGCTGCACAGCTACTGGACCCATTGCCCAGAGACACCAAGAGTACCCAAACCTGCCACAGGTAATGCAGGAGGATGGGGTGGGCAGGATCCTGTTGCTGCAAGGCTGTTAAAATGCACTCAAGACCCCAGGCAGAGGCCGTGCCCCACTGCAGAGGAAGGAAACACACACACACACACACACACACACAGTCTGAACCAACCTGACCGGAGTAAAACTCCTTTCTGATCCCCAAAGCAGTGACCCTGCTAACCCTGAGTGGAAGGACACCCTCTAGCCAGGACCCTTCAGGTGTAGGCCCTAGTAGGGTACCAGCATGGCCCAGTCCAAGTCCCCAGCCTGGGCTGCAGCCAACACCCAGTTCTCCCCAAACTCCCTGACACCCGAAGCAACAGAACAGGGGGAAATTCAGTTGTTCTGTGTGTCCAGGGGACAGGAGAAGACACAACAGGCTGATGCTGTGGCAAAGGGCTAGAGGCTGATCACTGGAGAGCCTCCAGCTCTGTGGCAGTTCAGCCCTGGAGCGCGCAGCCTAGCAAGGCTGAGCCTCTGGGGCCCTGGGCATTTTAATGAAGGAGAGATGAACACTGGGCTGGGCTGGCTCAGACTGGGCTGATCCTAGCTGGAGCAGGGGGCTCGACTGGGGTGGCTTCTTAGGGGTCTGGGCAGCCCAGCTCCCCCAGCCGAGGTGCTGAGGAGGGAGCCAGTGCCTCTCCTCCCATACACCCAGCAGCACATGGGCACAGCCCAGGAACCACCTATAAGTTTATCAGGGGAGGACAGCAGGGAATTGGGGATGTGCTGTTTACCAGAGTGCCCCAGGGAGTAACTAGGAACAATGGGTACAAACTAGTGGAGAGTAGATATAGGTTAGACATTGGGAAGAATTGTTTTACAGTAAAGGTGGCCAGAGTCTGGAACGGGCTTCCAAGAGAGGTGGTGCTATTACCTAGCTTGGAGGTCTTCAAGAGGAGGCTTGACAATCACCTGGCTGGGGTCATCTGACCTCTGCCCTCTTTCCTGCCAGGGGCAGGGGGTCGGACACAATGATCCATTGGGTCCCTTCCGACTCTATGAATCTATGAACCACCCTGAGCCAAGCAACTTTGGAGGGTGGCAGAAAGCCAGTACTTTCCTTTCCAGAAAACAGGCCAAGGAAGGAGCCAGGGAGTGACACAGAGCCAGCTAACAACTGCCAGCATACGGGCCCTGGCATGCCAGCCACTGTGCAAGGGGACAGCTGAGCCAGCCCCAGGCTTCAGGCAGCAAAGGACAGGGAAGAGCTCCCTCCCTCCGGGCCTGAGCAACTGGCCAGGTGTGCTCGGGCCCTTCCATCTCCTGCAGCACCAGGTATGGGCCCCCTGGCCAGCAGGCCAGTGCATGGGCCCCCGGTACCAGGTATGGGCCCCCTGGCCAGCAGGCCAGTGCTGCATCCCAACCGCTCAGGCTATTCCCACCACCCATCTAGATCAGCGACTCCCCTAGCCTGTCCTCCCTTGCCAGGAGGCTCCATGGATGCCCTGGCCAGTGCTGGGACTGGCTGGCAGGGCCAGAAGTGACCCACCTTTGCTGTTGATGGTGACGCTGCGCAGGTCGGAGGGGGGGCCCAGGCCAGTGCAGTGGTAGACAAAGACCTGCAGGCCATACTCCTGGTTGAACTCCAGGCTGGGGATGCGGGCCGAGTGCACAGACATGGAGCTGATGTTGGTCTCTTGAACCAGCGCCCCGGCGGCGTCAAGGAGGCGCACGATGAACCCGTGGGCCGGCTCGTGGATGCTGGGCACCCTCCAGCTGACATGCAGCGTGTTCTTCCCCTCCACAGACCAGCCCTCGATCACAGGCTGAGCCGAGGGCTCTGTGAGGGGGGGACAGCAAAGCCTTTGTGCACCTGTCCTTCCCGGCGGGAGCTCTGAGTGCAGGGAACGGTGGAAACCCTCGCTGCCCCTGCTCCCGTCAGAGCTCAGCAGAACCCGGTGCTGCGGGGGTGCGCGAGGCCATGGGGGCAGCGTGCCCAGCTGGGCACAGTGACGTGCCGGGGGCCATGGGGGAGCCACGTGGGAGCCGAGGGTGTGGGCTGATGGCATGGGATAGGTTTGGCCATGGCTAGGCCGGGCAGCCGACACCGTTTCTGCCCAGGCATCTATCTGAAGGGGCTCAGGGCAGTGGATCTGATTGCCAGGGCCTGGAGTGATGGGCAAGCGCAGAGCCAGACTGAGCTGCGGGGTGACCTGCCAGGTCGCTCATGGCTTCCTCGTTACTCCAGAACTGACCGACAAACCCATCAGAGGGGGCCGGGAGGACAGAGGCACTGCCCTGTCCATGCGGTTTTACAGTCCGGGCAGACAGGCGGCCGTGGATGAGGGTGGGGGTGTGGCAGGACAGGAAGGGGCAGGACAGGGCAGGATGGGCTCCGGTGCTTTCTCCTGGTCCCCCCTTGGAGCCATGCCTGCACTCACCCTGGCACTCTGTCACCATGACGGCCTGCGGCCCCGCGGGCCCCTCGCCGTTCTGCCCCGGGCGGCTCAGCTGCACCCTGACAAGGTAGGCGGTGACCGGCTGCAGGTTCACAAGTGTGATGCTTTCACTGTGGTTGACTGTGGGTCACAGAGCATCTGTCAGACCAAGGTCCTGTGCAGGCGTCTCCAACCCCCCACCCCCATCCGCACCCCCACCCTCAGCCTCCTGGACCCCAGGCGGCCCCTCCCTCAGCACGCCCCACACTCCAAGGTCAGCAGAAGTGCCCCACATGTGTGACCCATGCTCAGCCCAGCTCCTGCCCTCAGGCCCTGGGGCTCGCCTCGCCGGGCATCCCAGCTGCCAGCACCCTGCAGCAGGCTGGCCGTGCCCTTCGCTGTGCCGCAGGTGGAGCTGGCGCTACAGCTGCACCGGCTCCTGTCTCCAGCCCTGCCCGGCCCCCCTATGCGGGGTAGGCCCTCCTACCCACGATGGACGACCATGCCGAGGGCATGTCCCGGGGCCTGTAGAGCACCTTGATGGAGACAATGGGCCCATCACCAGAGAAGCTGTCCACGGGGGCCACCACGAGCTGCCGGCTCCGCTTGGCCAGCAGCCGGGGGGCACTCTGTGGCTTCGGCGGCACTGGGGGGGAAAGGTGGAGGCACTGTGAGTGAGCCCAATGCCCGCTAAGGTGCTGGGAGCAAAGACGCTGCGAACCCCACCCTCCTGTGCAAGGCTGAGCACGGCTGCTCCTGGGCTCCTCCGCTCTGCTCTCAGCACCCAGGATAGGCCCACAGCCTGCCTCTGCCACCTGGCTGCACTACCCTTGCCACGGCACACGGCACTCGCTCTGCCCAGTAACAACCCCTGGCAGGGGCCACAAGGCCTGTGCCACAGCCAGCAGGAGGACGAGGACGCAGCACCATCACGGCAATGCTGTCGCACCCCGCAGCCCTGGAAAGCCTTGGTCCCGCTCACCTCGGACATGGACCTTGACCCGCCGGCTGTCCTGGCCACCAGTGGTGGAGACCCGGCACTCCCACAATCCCATGTTCACCAGGGTAAGTGGTGGCACCACGAACTCGAAGGTGGTCTGGTTCGTTACCATGATGGCCTTGCTGGCCTGGGAGGCAAAGAGGGCAGCTAGGAGCAGCCTGCCCAGGAGTCTTTCCTGGAGCTGGAGCTGGAGCATGAGGCAGGGCTGTGCCAAGCTGGGGGCAGGGGAGCTCTGGGGCCGAGCTAGCCTGGGCAGCTGGACCCGCAGGGTGCATGCGGAGCCTGGGGCCAGGGTCCTGGGACATTGGCATGGGCAGCAGGGGTGCAGCTGGGCAGGACAGGGCAGGATGGGAGCAGGGGGTCACAGCATGGGCTGGGATGGTGACAGGCAGGGGGAGGCAGGGGCAGAGGGAGCCTTGGCAGCAGACATGTTGCAGGGCAGGGGTCAGGGGAGCACCTTGAGCAGTGTCCCATCGACCAGGCGCAGCTCGATGCTGTCCCGCACGGGCAGCGGGTTCCCCGTGACGATGCAGTTGACCACAGGCTGCGAGCCCAGGTTGAACTCCAGCTCCGAGGCCAGGTTGATGATCTGGGGGATCCGGTCTGGGGAGACACACCAGCACTCAGAGCCATGCCCAGCTGCTGCCTCGCTTCCCACCCACCACCAGCCAGCACAGGCAGGCTCTGCAGCCGCCCAGGGCCTGGGCTCGAGCCCACCCTTCTCCAGGGTCTCAGGACTCCCCAGAGGTGCTGTGTCCCCCCCACAGTGGAGCCCAGGCCTGCTGCTGGGGGTCAAGCCCCCCCAGCTCCTTCCCTCCCTCCCGTGCAGGAGGGGCAGGCAGCACAAAGCTGGTTCTGCCCAGCCCAGGGGGCTGGATGGCTGTGCAGGGGCTGCGCTCAAGCCCCGCTGCTGGGGCACTGCATGGGGTGCTGGATCCTGGATGACCTTACCTGTCTTCTCGCAGTACTGCCCATGCCAACCCGAGGGGCAGACGCAGCCGCTGAAGCGGTTGCAAGTGCCTCCGTTCTGGCAGCGACAGTCCAGGGCGCAGTCAGGGCCGTAGCGTCCGTGTGGGCAGGCTGCAGGGAGAGAGTGGAGGCATGGGTCAGCCCAGGTGGGAGTGCAGGCTCAAAGCCTGGCTGGGACGGTGTGGGTCACAGCCACCGCAGATGTGGGCTGCTTGACCCAGGGGCAGCACAGGCTGAGTAGGGACCCACGCGGGTCTTTGCCCTGGGGTGCACGCTCCACCAGCAGGGAGTGAAGCCAGCTGCAAGCAGCAGAGCTGGCCCCAGGGCGATGTCAGGGGTGCAGTGCAGGTTGGGAGCACGAGTCTGCGCAGCTGTACCGAGGGTGCACTGGGGGCCGCTCCAGCCGGACGCGCAGGAGCAGCCATAGGGGTCGGGCAGGCAGAAGCTCAGGCCCCGGCAGCCCTGGTTGCTGACGCATTGTTCCTGGCAGTTACGGCCAAACCGGCCCTCTCGGCAGGCTGCAAGACAAGAGTGCATCTTGTTAGCCAGCTGCAGGTCGCCGTTTGCTGCCCTCCGCATTCAGAGCCCTGGCCTGCAAGGCTCGCTGCTGGCACCAGTGTGCGGTCCCTTGGGCTCCACGCGGCCCCAACCCTCCCTCGCCAACCCTGAGCAGGGGCCAGCTGGACCAGCGCCCGGGCCACCAGGACCCAAGCCCTCTTTTCTGGGTACTATGGCTGGCCCATCCCATCTCCATGCTGTGACAGCCAGACCCTCATGCTGGCCCTGGCCTGTCCTGATCTCACCTACCCAGGGGTCATGCTCGGGGCAGTGCCCCTCCCTGCTTAACCTGCACCTTGTTTTTGATCCAAGCAGAAACCTCTAGGAAGGTGCTTGCGCCTTTGCTTACAAGCATGGGGTTGGGTGTGGGGGCACGAATGGCGGTCACAGGCCAATGCCCCGTCAGGTGCGGACACCACAGGCTGCAGCAGGCGGCAGTGGGGCAGGGTGGACAGGAGCTGGAGATGCCCCTGCAAGGGGGTGGGCAGGGCTGCACTGACACCCACAGGCGGTCGGGCATCTGGGTGTCAGGAAGGTGATGAGAGCCAACAGGGGCAGAGGGCACATGGCAGCAATGGCAGCCACACGGCACCCGGGCTGCAGTTCAGTCTGCAGAGATCACCCAGGACAAGAATAAAGGGTAAGGACAGTGCTGCGAGCTGCCCGCACAGGAGGTCTCAGCTCTCCAGCAGAGCCCAGCCTGACCACAGCCCGCAGCCGCAGCCAGATGCCAGTGAGCTGGGAGAGCACAGGCGCGGGTGCCCACCCTCGCTGCCATGGCAGGCACCTGCCCTGGGAACCCCGGCCGCAGGGGCAGTGTGTGCGGAGGGCTGGCCAGGCACGCACCTTTCTCGCAGCGGGTGCCCATGAAGCCCGGGGGGCAGAGGCACTCGCCAATGTGGTCGTGGCAGACGCCGCCATTCAGGCAGTCGGGACAGTCCTTCTCGCAGGCCGGCCCCCACTTCCTTGCCGCGCATCCTGGGGACAGTGGGAGGCAGAGGGCTGTTGTGCACCCCAGGGTGACCAGTGCTCGATGCACACACCGGGATGCTGCCCCATGCTCCCCCCTGCCACTGGTACGTGATGGGTCGTCCGCCCCAAGCCCCCCATCCCGGGGACTGGAATTGTACAGGGGCACCGGGTATCGGGCGGGTGCAGGAGGCAGCCCTGGGGCAGTGGGAAGGGCTAGATGGTCTTGTCTCCCCACACATTCACCCTGGGCTCTGTCTCCCTCCCGGCTCCGGTGTCTCGGCGTGAAGGCTTCTGCCGTGCCCCAACCCCCTCACCCTCCCTGCCACCCACAATGGGGCCCCTTGCCCACTCCCATCCTCACCTGCCACTGCCCCTCGGGGGTACTCAGGCCCTCTTCAGGACTTGTGACTGATGCCAGGACGGCCCCATGGGGCACAGCACTGCTGAATGCAGCCAGGTGCTGCTTCCTGGCCAATGCCGGGGGCTGAGGGCTGCATGGGCTGCTTGCAGCTGAGCTGGGGCATGGCCAGGCCGGTCCTTGGCCAGAGTCTTGCCTGGGTCACTCAGAGTGCCCTGAGCCCCCCTGTGACCTCCCCCTTCCCCCAGACCCTGGGGGCCGGAGGCACTGAAGGACTGGGAGGGACGTGCCTCCCTGTCAGGCCTGCGACCAGCGCCAGGCCCACAGCCCTCACCTCGCACAATCAGCCTGAAGAAGGCACTGGCCAGGGGGCTGTCCCCAATGAAGGTGGCGCTGTATACCCCATTGTCCTGCATGCCCACATCCTGGAGGGTCAAGGAGAACAGGTCGTCCTTCATCTCGCCCTTGTGCGTCGTCTGGTAGTAGGAGCCTGTGCCAAGGAGAGCATGGGTTGGTGCCTGCTTCTGACCCCAGAGGCTGAGGCCAGGGCTGGGCCCAGCACAAGCCAAATGCTGCCCTGTCCCCAGGCCCCTGGGGGCCAAGCACCCTGGCCTGCCATGGGAGCAGTGTGCTGGGGTCACTTGCCGTTCCTCTTCCACATGATG